CTTCTGCGTTAAAATAAAATATAGTTTTATATCAAAAATTACGAGTAGAAGTATGGAAAGTAAAACAAATTAAGATTTTTTGACAGTCAATATTACTATTTTTATAATGAAAATCGTAAATGACATAGTTCAAGTATTTTGAGGTTAAAAATAAATAAAAGTAGAAAGTTTAAAGAATACAGTTCTCTGGTTGTAGAATATTTAAATAAGGTGAACTATAAAAAATTTCCTGAATTTTTTTTAGCTTAAACTTAAGACCCAATTGCTAGGAAAACAAATTATTGTACCATATTCACAAATATAACATATTAAACAGCAGTATATAAATTTAAGCACAAATTTGTAATTAAAGTCAGCACAATTTTGATGAATGAAACTCAAGACTCACTAAGTACTAATTCCAAAATGAGTCTTATAAGTAACATCCACTGAATATAGTTATTAATAAATTAATAGATATGTACTTGAATAATGGGTATAGCTAAAAATTGTTTAAATGATTCTTGTAACGTAGTATATTCTTGTGATTTTCCTAGTTTATAGTTTCTAAGTACAGCCAATTCATTAGCAAACAACTCAATCAACCACAATGTAATCATTGTGATTTTTGTATAATCCTGCGAATTTAAACCACCTAGTTTCTGCAAACAAACCAAAAAATATTAATCTTTTAATACTTACATAAATTTAAACTAAATATCATACTTTCATAAGGAATAATTTTATAGGTTTTTTTTCATTTAAATGCAAAAATTTCAGTACAATTTCTTCAAATGATACATTTAGGTTAGCATATATCAAAGCACTGTTTTCATATCTAAAAAACAAGTGATATAATTTACTTTAATTTATGTTTATATGTATTTTCAGTATTTAAATAGGTAAATAATTGATTAATTACTGTTTTGAATTGAAAAAATGCTCTGCTTGTCTAATTAATACTTGATTTATCCTGTAAGGATTGTTAATGCATATTTCTTTTGCTTCTTCGAACATTCCTTTATCAAGATAAACCTAATCAACAAACAACACTGACATAAAATTTTAAAATTCTAGAAAATATAATATTGCTTTATGATCTTAACCATACTTTCCACACATGGCGATCTTCTTTGGTTATTTTATATCTAAAAACAGCACGTTCTGCATACAACCAAATTGTTCCAGTCATCAAATCTTTTGTTATATTCAACAATCTACCATAGCTCTAAAAGACATATTTAATTGTATTATCAAATAAAACTCAATATATCTAATTATTTACATCAGAACAATAATCTTCATCCATCACTTGAGATGCAGTGCGATCAGAAGGGGCTACTAAAGAAACAGCAATAACTCTTTCTGGAAATAACAACAATACATGATAACGTGTAAATGTCATTGATAACGGTACAGTAAAATCATCATCATCTCTTCCATACAGCCGACTATATTCAATGAGTTCATGTGAGCTGAAAATTGTTTTCTCATCTTTGTTTATATCAACCTATAATGAATGTTTTGAAATAAAATTAAACCAAATCAAAGTATATTGATTAATCAAAAATAGTGGTTTACTTCCGCAACAAATACTCCCAACTCAGTAAGAAATCCAAAATATTTTGGAACTGTAAAATCGTTGTTTAAAAAATAAAAATGCAATTTGCTATGTTTCACTACAGTCGGGATTTCATAAAAACGTTCTGTAAAAAAGAAAAATAATTACTACAATTTAAACATAATTTTTTAGTATTTAAATTTAACTACTCTGAATGAAAATACTACTTTAATAATAAACTATACAGAGTGAATCACTAAGTTTTACTTTATGCTTATAAATTTATCAAAAAACTGGTAATATAATAACCAATCCATTAAATATTTATCGAAAATGAATTGTACTTAATTGATCTATTCTTCTTAAATAATACAGGTATAAATATATAATACAAACTTGCCTGGGATGGTCAAATAATTATTGAAGATTTGTTGTAACATCGGTCTTTCGTCTTTATTAAATATTATGTCAACAAATTGATACAATTTTGTTGGTGTAATTGCTAATATATAAAATAGATCTGATTTTCCAACTCTATGATACTGGAGTCCAATTATAGGAATAGGTTGACCTTTACTTATGTCAAATACCTGTAATATACAGTTCATAAAAATTTAATTGTACTGATGTTAAATAACCGATATATAGCAATAATACACACCTCTTTCCAATATTGAACTACGCTGCCTTGAAAAAATCTATCAAACTCTGTTCCTAATTGTGTTTCGATTATCGTACCAGATGAATTTCCGAGCAGTATAGGCCCAGTTGTGCTAGATGTAGATTTCACTTTAAAATCATAGTTCCAAGCCACTGATGTTATTTCTGAGCCCTGATATTTTCCAACCTATAAACATTAAACAATAGTTCTAGAGAACAAATGATAAAATCACGGCGATTCTAAATTTATTTAATATTTTCCCTTACAGGTTTGAGTTTAGACAGTTGTTTAGTTGCATAAAATAACTGAGAACTATTTATGTTACCACATGAAATTAATAAGTGTTCTCCAAAGGGATCCAAGAACAATTGCTTAACCTTTAGAGATGATGTTTTAAATGTATCAATTTCTAAAAAACAAATTAGACAAGTTATTTTTGCAATTATTACAAAACACAATACATTTAAACAATATGAGTGTGCACGTTTATAGTGGTACTCAAGACCAGGAGTCTTCAAATTATAAGATCCAGTGAACATTAAAAGCTCTCTAAAAGCGGGAAAAAATCCAAAAATAAACTATTTGTATTATTTTGTTTTTAAAATTTTTTTTTGATTAAGATTTATAATATAATATAATGTAAAATAAATAAATAAATAAATGTTTGTCATAATATTATAATTTTTCATTTAATTTTTGCATACTACAAATATAACAGTACTTTTTTTTTTTTGGTAATATGGAAAATGTACAATACTAAATTTAAATATTACTCTTGACTGGATTCATGGAATTCTGTGGCAACCATTAAAAACTAGTACTTATTTATTAAGATCATAATATTTCTAAAGAATTTAAAATTGTTTATCTAATAATATATGTTTTGGCACATCGTTTTTAATATTTTCTTGTATGACCCTCAAGCAAAAAGTTTTAAGACTCCTGCTCTATAATATAGAAGAGTATGAATTGCAATAAATAGCATTTACTTTAATTGAGACCCAATCACTCTCACCTTCGATATTATCCTGTTTTAAGTTTATTCGCAGTAACACATTATTGACCATAACTAAAACCACATAATCATTGCTTACCAGCAATTGAGTGATCTTATCGCTTGGAGAGAAATTGACTTTCTTTTTGGATAGTATGGGAATTCCTTGGAGATCTGCATCTCTATCAAAACTTTCATCCAGCTACAACATTAAATTGCAATTACAATTTTTAAAACAATTAAATAATAGGAGTATTAACGTAGAGAAATGATTTTACTAATTGCTTAGATGTCGGCGCTGTTTTAATTCTACTTTCAACTCCTTGCTCAAACTGATCAAGTATTGAAATCATTGTGTAAGTATTAAAATCAGTTCATTAGTTGCCAAATGTTGATGTTATGGTCCGCCTTTATAATATTATATTTGTCTCAAACTTTTCGAATAATATCACTTTGGCATATTAATTTTAAATTGTTATAAAAAATAAACGAAATTCAAAATATTAAAAATGAAAAGTTTATAAAATTATTTTGTAAACTTGAAATTTATACAGTCTTAAATCCTTAATTTTTAATTTACTAACGAGGAATGTTAGCGGGCGTAAAGATAACACCATTATCACCAATGTAAATAATTGATAATAGATTATTGCAAAATATTATCAATGGAGAATATACGTCCAAAAAATAAAACGTCTATATAACACTCCACTCCACACATCCCCTAATACACAAATAAAAAATCCAAACTAAATATTGAATTATTTGGAGTTATACGAGATTTATCTTTAAAAATTCTAACTTTTGATAAAAAACGTTTACTTTTTTTAATTTAATAATAATAATTTACATGATTTCTAGTATAATTACTACGATTGTTGATAGAATAATTAATAGCTTTAAAATAAAAATAAAATTATATAAAAAAATTGAAAAGTTTTGGAGAAACTTAAAAAAATGCGTGGTAGGTTTGGTTTAAAAAAAATGTAAATTATCCATAACTAGAAGAAATAAAAAATTTAGACCTCCTCTTTAAAGGGTATTTTTTCATCATTTTAGGTATACTTTCGTATGACGTCGGTCAGTCACTTAGCCCCGGAACACATTGTATAAACAATAAATATTAAATAATACAATTATTTTTCATGTGAGATCTTATAAGAAAACTTAATATAGATGCATAAGAATAGATTAGCTTTATTTAGTAACTGTTTGTCCTTTGATAAAAGTATCAAATTGTCAATCAGTAAGAAATTATTTTATAGTATCACATAATTAGTAATTGACATGTAGGTGTGTATGGTTTTTGTTACAACGATTCAAATCTACGCCAATGACAGTACCCATAGAGTAATAAATTTATTATTATTAGTAATAAGTTTATTACTTTATAATTTATGAATTATGGCGGCACCACAGTAAACTACAGAAGTAATCACCGCGCGGTGTGAAGATATGAATATGAACCATAAACCATTATTATGGTAAAGTAATGATTCGATTTTATCACAGAATGAGTTTTATCATTTATTATTATTTTGTTATCGGACGACCGTTATTATCAATGTATACAAACAAAACATGAGCGTTAGGATGAAATAAGTAAAATGTGGTTATAAACTTATAACAATATCTTATGTAGTTCATAACCATTTTAAGACTGTATCATTACTGTACGTCGCTCGACATAGGTCTACACGTATAATTTTAAAGGTTGTTAATTGTTATTGCTTGAAAGCGTTTTCAAAAAAAGTAATCATCAAAATTCATATTAGTTTTTATTTACTAGTTTTGAGTATTATAGTTGTTTCAAACATTAATTATGTCAGCTTTGAATAGTAAGTATTACTTTTGTATCTTCAAAATATTTTTTTTTTCATTAAATATTTATTTTATTTTAGACTCCAGTACTAGTACTGACCAAAATGATCCAAATAAAGACAAATCCAAAACTCCAAGATCCAAAGACATGCATTTACCGATATCAAGAGTACGCACCATCATGAAGAGTACACCAGATATTGAAAACATAGGATTACCGTCATTGCATGTTGTTACTAAAGCAACGGTAAGAATATAATATTATTTTTATTTTTATTATTTATGTTTCAATTGTATTATATTACTTTAACGAATAATTTTTATTGCTTCTACATTATAATTGTGTTTAATTAACTTGTAATAGTGATCATTTCCTTAATTAGCTTTTGATCCATTACATTATTGAAATTTCTCTATAATTTTATAGTGAGTTTGTTTTAAAGGATAATTTTAAATATTAGAGTATAATATTATAAATTATAATTATATATATATATATTATTTTAAAATGGATAAACAATTTGACATTAAATTAGGTACATATAAAGATACATTTAAATTTATATTTGCAGTCAACATTCTTAGAAAAAAAGCGTTTTAATAGAAATCCTGTAGTAAAAGTATTTTTTTTTTTTAGAAAATATAAAATCTATTCTTCAAAAATTAGTAAGGATATGGTAATAGAAAAAAAAAATAAAATATGAACAATTTTGAAAAAAGCCTTAGTTGACAATTTCAACTATAAAATTTAAAAATATTTAAACATTTATTTTATTTATTTATTTGTTTATTACTATAATAGATTATGATACCAGATTTTTATAAATTGTCTTTGCGAATTTCCGGGTATTGTTCATGTATATAAATTGAGGATTTGTTTCATTTTTGTTTAGAAACTGATTTATTAATGTGAAACAATTATTTATTGTATTTTAGGAGTTATTTATACAAAAACTGGCACAGGATGCTCTTAAAGGACAAAGACACTACAGACATTTAGAATATAATGATCTTGCCAGAGCTGTTGAAGATAATGAAAATATGTATTTCCTTAGAGGTAAATTGTATTTTTATTTATGTATGATGTATGTTTTATTAGTAATTTCTTGGCAATAATAAATTAAGTAAATACTAAAAATAAAGCTATTTATAACAAGGATTTAAAAAAAAGTGAAACTGAAGTTGTCATATCATTACTTGTAAAGCACAGAGTTGTATGGATTAAATAAATATCATATATAGTAAAAATATGCAATTTAAAGTGACTATTTACAGTTCTATGCATAACATTTATACTTTATTATTGATGTTATTTTCTATAGCTAGGATCATATACTAATTTCTATGTAGGTCTATTTTGAAACTTATCATAGCCCAAAACACTTTTAATTTTTTTCACATATTAAATTTATAACAAACACATTTTATTAATAATAGTGTAAAATTATACCTGCAAATTAATGACTCCTGTTCTATAATTCACAAAATTAATGTTTGTATGGGATTTAAAGGCTTATAAATATAGTTTAAAAGTTGATGACCTTAAAAACGTTAAAAAAAAATCCATAAAATTCTTAGTAAATTTTTAAATTTATCAAAACTTACAAATTACTCATAATTATTGCATTGTACTATTAGAGCATATTTGATGTTGTCAAAAGTTAATTAAGGACAATTACCGGTTAATAAATATTTATTCTTGGAATAACTTTTCTCTGTGCCCACAGAAGTGATAGTGATGAATCTGAAACTGGCCAAATCTTTAGCAAAATTTAGCTAACACTCACTTGAAGCTTCTTCACCATTTAGAATTTTCGAAATTGTTACCATTGTTTAAAATCCAGTGTTTTTATCAAATACAGCCTTCAATAAGTTTTTAATTTAATTTCTAATTCTGTTAAGTGCTGCTGATTCAATTTTAAACAATAAGAAGTGATCTAGTGGGAAATCAGTAGAAATGACAGCTAGCAATTGCCTTACGTTATCGAATCTTTATCTTTACCTAACCGTATACAACTTATGTAAAATATTATTTTACCTATAACACATAAATTTGATGTATCTATATACAGTTTGTGTAAAACAAAAAAACTATGAGGGTAAAAATTTTAATTGACGAAATTTGATTAAAAATATAAGAAATTGAGCTAAAAAGAAAAATATGACAAAAAATGTTTTAAAAAGCAAATACAGCCAAAAAGTGCAAAATATAAATTAGTTATTCAGATTCATATGTTGATGAAACAAATTTGTAATCAGGAAAGCATCGTCTAATAAGTTCCAAATATAAAAATGCAAAATTTATCAATTTATAAAGAACTGAATCAATTAGCACTACATTTACCACATATATTCTTTAAGACTCTGGACGTGTTCTTGGTTGGTTGAGTTTAACCCTTTAAGTTCACGCATGAACTTTATGCACCAACAGATTCTGGTTTTAGTAATGTCACATCATATATTTACAAATAAAATGTTTTACAAAATGGTATTATATCATTGTTAAAATATTTTATAATAAATAAGCCTGTACAATTAAAATACAACAATAATCAACATAATAACACACATATTTAATATACCTATTTTATTTTTCAGAGGTTTTACCTAAAAAAATTACCATGGCTGAATATTACAAATTGGTTGGTAAAGAATCCTCAGAAGATGGTGAAGACAATGATAACAGTTCTCAAACATCACATTCTTCATCGTCTTCAGTATCATCAGACAATTAATCTTTATTATATTCCTTAACAGTTAACTATAAATATGTGTAGTTACATTGTTTTTTTTTAAATTTTTTAATTTATAAATTATTGTATAAGTATCTTAATATTAAAGTATTAATTTTTAAGTTATTGATCATGAATGTTTTTTTCTCTAAACCGTTTTACAAATACTAGTTTTGAGTTGTTTTTCATGTACTTTGATATCAAATCATTATTGTTCTTTAACTTTGTACCATTGCAACTCAACCAATACGTTTTCCATATTCGTTTCCAACTGATAGTTGATTTCTCATCAGCTCTTTTTAAATGTAACTCCATTTTTCTCTCGATGCTTTTTTTCAAGTCTATCACTTTTGCTCCATTTTTCTGTACCTAAAAATAACAGAGATAAAAGGCATTTTTTTTAACTAATCACGATATTGATTGTCGGCAAATTAGAGCCGTTTAACTGTATTGTATACTGACGACGATCGGGATGACAATGTCATCAAAGCGTTCTAAGTAAACAGTTATCGCTCGACCGTGTTCGATTGCAATTTGTAAATCGATTTCTCCCAACGTGACATTGTTCGGTAGGTCTCCCAATACGCTGTCTTTGTCCAGCACCGCGTTCAACACTTCGCCCGTCAGGTCTTTGAGTCGTTCGTGACTGATCACGGAGACATCGACATCATCCAGTTCAGACAGCGTACACGACGACGACGGATCTGCAGGCTCGCACATTGGTCCTCACGCGATTCTCGGCGTTTCCGCTATGAAAAAAAAAAAAAAAAGTTTTACTATTGAAAACGATGACGTATTACAATATAGGTGGTAAGCTGTAGGTACGGGACAAGGTCGTCAAAAAATGTTTTCAATAATCGGCTGACAATCAAATAATCAAATCGCTCGGCATGTGGGCCGGTGAAATGAAAATGGTGTATTATTAATTATTATAAACGTACCCATATCGCAACCGGTGCTAATATTCTTAGCATGTGGTTATGCAGGTAGATACGACACGTTTTGTCCATTAAAAGGACCGTTACGTGTCTCATAAAAAAAAACATTGTTATTATAATCTATACCTATATAGTAATTACCTACCTTTTGTAGGTACGTACAAGAAGGGGTAAGGTGTTACTCAATATTATTATTTTATACACATCGACGTCCGCGCATATTCATGACAATATTATGATGTCGTCCTCTATATAGGTACCCTGCAGCATCGCCACTCGTCAGTCACTAGTTGGTACGTATTACTTCGACTACGCGTGCGAAGTTTATCTATAGTGCCGCCGATACCGTACGATTTCGGTTTTCATAGAAATATCATGTTGCTGTAATCTCACCAACAAACTTACAGTATATTCGTTACGACTGCAAACTCTAGTGATCGGACGATATAATATATGTACATGATATTATACAGGGCGTGTATTAGGAGGATTTGACTGTAATGGTCATTTAAACAGTCAGTTCGTTCAGATACATTCTGTACGAGTTGTACGACTGTACACGGGCTATATATATATCACTAATCACTATAATATTGAATTATGGTGTAATATGCGCACGCCAAGATTGGGGTGCAAGCGTTATAAGTTTAAATCATATTATTTATTTTTTTTTTAATTATGTCGTACCTATTAATGCGTTCGCATACTGTTCGACTGCAATTGTTTATATCTAATAATAATAAATAAATTATACTATAGTGAAGCTTTTCTACGTGCGTCTTGTTTTGGGGGACAAAACGCGCGTAGAGTGGCTGAATATATACCTCTACCTGTATTACACCTACAAAAAAAGTGTCGAACGGGCGAGCGAAATCTGCGCTTGTCGTTTTCATTGGTGCAACAATTTGACCACAAAATTTGTTTACCAAATTTCGAATTACGAACGGTTTTTCTACATGATTTTATTATGATTTACAGACCAACTGCAGCACGCTGTTTGCGGTACAAGAGTAGTGTCTCATCATTTGAATCAACGGGGATGGCCGCAGACCAAAATCATTGGAGGTTCAACTACACCGTACGGGGCATATCCTTGGCAGGTACAAAAAAAAAAAAAAAAAAACGATCGATTGTATTTTCGATATACCTACTCATAATTCGCCCGTATAATATGATGAATTATAACTTTTTTAATTAGATGATTTCATTTAAGTATTAAGCAAGATCAAAATAAATTACGCTAATTTAAATATTTATCGTGTTACGAGTTATGCAATTAGGGCAAGGTATTTTTAAAGCACCAAATAAAATAAAACATACCCATATATAAATTAAAAAGATCAACTTTTATATTACGCGATATAGGTATCTACGATCTATAACTATATTATACTTTATACTACTTATGTAAGTTCTGTAAAAGGACATCGCACGCACATTGACATTGAAATTTATAATATAAGCTATTTATAAAGTTTAGGTTTTAGGTACCTAGGTATATTGGCTTAATATATTTTTAATAAGTTTTATTTTATTATTTATATTTTATGAATATAAATACCTATAGGTATAATGTTTTCTAAATAAAAGTTACATTAAAAAAAAAAAAACATTGTTTTTAGAAAAGAGTGAATGGGTGACGATTAAAGATTTGCTTTAATAATTTTGAGTTAGCTCTGTCTTGTGTTTTTAGTTGATAGTTATTAATAAAATGCCCACGGTGACATCGACCATTGGGAAACATGTTAATATGTTACATAGTAGGCTTAATTTTAATCATTGAAAATATAAATATTGGCTAATTTACAATTTTTAGAAACAATTAGTATTAGGTAGGTATGTATATTTTTGTAATTTATAATTTATTTTTTTAACAGCTAGGTATTTGCATTTTTCATACACAGCAGCAAAATATCTATTAAATGTTCATATAAATTACCTACCTATTATACAATTTTTAAATATCAATACATTTTTTGATTTATCATCATTCAAAATGACAATAAGCAATAAATAATGGTATTACATAATGTATTCATAAATCAATGTTATTAATAATAATAAATACCTACCTAACAAACAAAAATGTTCAATTACGATTTTTAAAGAGAAAAAAATAAGTTTCCATTTAATTACAAGACAATTATTGTACAACTATTAATTGTCATCGGTCATAATCATGATTACTTGCATACACTTATTGACTTCATGATTAGTAATTTTATAATTATTGTGACAGGTAGAATTACAAGCATACAAAGATGGATGGGAACATCACTGCGGAGGAGCACTTATTTCCGAGACTATAGCTCTAACAGCCGCCCATTGCTTAAAAGACTTTAAAAAATCTCAATTACGTATTATTGTTGGTAAACATAATCTAGCAAAAAACGATAAGCATGAAAAAACATATAGGGTACAAAAGGCATTAGTACACCCTGAATTTAGAAAAGGTAAGTACTGTTTTAAAGGGGGTTACCCATTTTTGCGCTGTGCCAAAATAAATTAATTTGTTTTGGGTAGGTACAACCCGTTTGCGCCAAAATAAAAAGGTATATTTTTTTCGACAACCCATTTGCACCATTTACATTAACCAATTGGTTTATTTGTATATTTAAAAGACGTCGTGTATTCGTGTCTGTAAGGTATAAAAAAGTTATTTTTATAAATCTATAGATTTTAAATATAACTGTAGCGTGTAAGCGTATTACGTGTGACTGTCGAAGACATAGATATTCGTCCTAGGAAAATTATTTTAACTTAAATGAATAACTGTATAGCTAATTCAGATTTTACTATATCTGATGTATCTGCTGTACGAAAAAATATTTATCGTACTCGTAAAAAATCTCTTCCTTCAAATCTTAAATATGTGTCTGATGTTCATAAAGCATTAATCGATTTACATTTCACTACTTCCAAAAACGAAGATTAAAATGTATATTATTGATTGTATTTAAAAAAAAAAATCGTACAATTGACTATGATTACCGATAGGTGATAGCTTATAATTTTCAAAACAACATAAGCTTATTAACTATTTATTATTGTTTATAATAATTTGTATTATTAATTATTATTTAAAAAAATTCGTACAATTGGCTATGATTATCAATAATTTATAATTTTTTTTTTTAAAATATGTACTTACTAACTATTTATTAACTATTGCTTAAAATAATTTGTATTGAATATTAAAAAATATATCTTTTTTTTATTTTGGCGTAAATGGGCAATGCCCGTTTTTAGGTTATATATAAAAAAAAGTAATTGGTATTTAATAGGTACCTACTTACCTATAATGCCTACGACCTACGTGTGTATTATAACATTAACTATATTTTAATGTAATATAAACAATCTGGTAATTGGTATTTAGATTTAGTAACTTGTGTGACTTATTAAACATAAATCATAAATCTTTTTGAAAAGTAGTTTTTTCGAAATAAATTATTTTTATAAAAAAGTATTAAATTTGTTCCCAATTATAGCTCTAATATTTATGTATTTACATAGAAATATTGGGATTTGTTTAATTCGTTTTGGCATATATTTAAGATAACAATTTAAGTCTTATTTATAAATATTCATTAAAACACTGTGGACTGTTGATTTAACAATATAATATAAGTATACATAAATAATAATAAGAAAATAAATTGTTATTTGAATATTTTAAATAAAAAAATTACTTATTTTTGCAATTATGCAGATAACTGACAGTACCTAACTACTAATTACGCCTATATTTATATACAATATTTCAGACGGACCGCATAGCCACGATATAGCGATATTAAAAATCAATTCATTAAACAGTAAAGGAGTAAAATTTGATACACATGTGCAACCAATATGCTTGCCAAATTACTATACGAAATCCAACGACGTAGATTGGTGTACCGTGACTGGCTGGGGAGCACAAAAACGTTTGTATTTATCTACCTAACAATATTTTTTACTTTAAATACCAATACTCAACTCGTTTCATGTGGCTACATTAATTTTTAATGGTCGTATCTAACGATTGAGCAAATATTTTTTATAAGCTTAATTTAATGGGTTAATTAGAACTAAAACAAATTGTATCTATCTATATAAAAAATTAGATATTTTTAGGAACCAGTTGATGAGTGAGTCGTGTGGAGAGGGTAGTGATATCTGTTATCGCCCTATTGGTAGCAATATTAACTTATATAGTGGAGAGTCGGCATTCGGTAAATTTGTTCAACATTTTTAAATCTAGTCAGCAATTTTAAAGAGACCACCATATATTCTTTTTAAATCATCTCATTTCTCTGGGTATTTTCATGTTTCGTACAAACGATAAAAATGTTTTCAAGTTGTGTATGTACTTACGTAGTATATATAATAAAGACTGGGTAGAATTGATATTTTACAATAGTTAGAAAATGATTGATCATTATATTAAAAAAAGAAATTATGGACGTCAAATATAACAAAACAAAAACAAAAGTCGGGTTGCAATTCTAGAAAAAGTAAATGTAATAGTGAAGAGTATTACAAAAAAATTTAAAGTAGGAAATCGATAAAAAATGGTTGAAATATAAAAAACATTTTATAAGAAACATCCGAGAGGTTGTAAAAATTTTGAGATATAGTTTGAATCCTCATTCTTCTCATCAAGAATACGATCATGTAAGGCAATATCCGCAGGAACTCTGTATGATATAGTTAATAGTGATGCTAATCAGCTGTACAAACTCTAAGGCGTTCTAAGTCTCATTGTATCAGAAAAAATTTTCAATTTTTTTTTAGAAGACGACATGACCAGTTTGCCTAAAGTTTTGCAAGCTGCATCAGTACCCTTGTTGGATTTGGAAACTTGTCGACACGACGATGTTTATGGAGGTCGACACCAGTTCATATTGGACAGTATGTTGTGCGCAGGAAGTTTAGAGGGTGGAGTAGACGCTTGTGGAGGCGATTCCGGAGGACCACTGGCCTGTCAAGTGAATGGTAGGTTCCAAATTTCTAAGAATCAAAACATTAAGTAACCTATTCAAGGACAGTACCCAATACAAAATTTTAACTCAATTTAATAATATAACTACGTTTAATGTGAAATGGAAAAATAGAATTGTAGGGGAACTAAGTATTTATTTTTAATTAAAAAAAGTTAGTGTAACATGGGTTTTTTTCTTTTTCAGGAAAGTTTATATTGACAGGTGTGGTATCGTGGGGCGATGGATGCGGCAAAAAAAATAGGCCTGGTGTGTACACACGAGTGTCTTATTATACAGAGTGGTTAAAAAAAGTTATGACTGAACTCGAGAATAATTAAAATATATTTGATAATTTGATAAAATATAATTCATAATGATTCTATAGAGTAGTTTAAATTTTATTATGTATATTAAAATTGTAAATAATAAATATGTATATTGATATAATGTACAGTCATAGTCATAACAATGTAATAATATGTAAATATGAAATAACTAAAACTTTAGATGTACAATTTTCTGAATGTTTGTATAAACTTAAGAATTACATGAACATCACATTTTTTGTTTAAGTGAAAAATAAATATAATATAATATGGCTTGTAGTTTTATGATTATAGAAGATAAGATTAATAAAAACAATAAATTTTTGTATTCATATTGTTGAGAAATATGTTATTGTAATATATATTTTTAAAAACTTATTGAATACTTAAAATAAATAATATTTAAATGTATATAATTTAATAAAATAACCTAACAGGAGTATAAGACTACTATAGTTGGTTGAAAATTAGAGCCGTGCTATATTATATATTATGGTATCAGAATGAATGTCTTGATAACAAAACATTTAAGTATAATTTAGTTTTACAAATAATCAGCAAAAATTATTTATTTTATAGCAAGGCTCTTCATAATTTTGGTTTGAGTCTCACAATCTTAGACGATATTGAACATTATTATAAGAGTTAAAAAAAATGCTTGATATAAAATTATTTTTACTATTTAGTATATTTTTAATACATTCTAACAGTTTAAGTATAATAAAAAAAATCTGTTGAAATTGTACTCATAAATGCCACATTATATTATACAAGATAAGCTAGTAATTGGTTATATTTAAACAAATATATATATAATAGCACTAGAAGATAATTTAAAACAATTAATAAAAATATTTTTTCATTTAAAAATAAAACTTAGGACAAAATATTTGAGAATAGGTTCATAATAAAATAATTAGACATAGATACCTATAATTATTTAATAGGTACTGACATTAGTTTAATTTTTTTTTAAACATTTCTCATGTTTAAATTTTTAATTTTTATTATAATTACATTCATAAAAACTATTTAACTGCAGTAAAAATATATATACTAAGAAATGCAATTAATTTAAGCAAGTATAATAATGTATGTCTAAAAATGAATAATTAATTTAATCATAATAATTATCCAGTTATAAAGCATAAGATAATAAAAACATTAATTATTACTGATCTTTTATTTATATGAAATTGTATTAGTTTTGACTCATATAAATATATATGAATAATTTTGAAAATATAATACAATATTGTTTTATCAACACAGCTATGATAGATGGTTGTTTGTCAATTAGTTGTTCATATACTATTTATTTACTAATTAAATTGATTATACAAGAATTATACAAGTTTTGTCTGCTAAAAGAGTAGCTTAAGATTTGATTTCAGATGAAATAAGCAGTTTTTATTCTTTTATACTTATACTTTTCATTTCAAAGTTTCTAAATATTAATGAAATCATGATTATTGGACTATTGATTAGGTATATTATATTGTGGAGAAATATATGAAATTTAAGTAAAATAAAAAAATTAATGTAACAATTACTAATATTTTAAATATTATACTCAAAATAATATCTATTTATATTTTTAAAGTGCAAACAAAATATAAATATGGAATAGTGATTTAAACATTATGGCACTAAGACACTATGTCTCATCTTTAATACATTAATTATATTACCATGAGCAAACATTTAAATAAAATATGTTTAACACCTAGATATTTTACTATTTACAATGATGTAAATGTAATGATGTATACTATTATTATTCTAAAAGGTATTTATTTTCTTATTAGATTTTATTTAATATTATGGAACATTTAAAAATCAATACAATTATACCAAAAAAAAAAAAAAAAAGAAAGTACAAACGAGTAGTTTGAGTAACTTATTTATGCACTAAACACACAATATTACAATTTCAGTACTTGATATTTTTATCACAATAAATAACCGTAGCATTTTAAAGAAAAATGATTTAAAATAGGTAATAACAAATACACATAAGGTGACTAGGCTTAAATAAGTCTTTTATCATAAGGTTATTACAATAACTAATAACAATACAAGATCTGATATTAAAAAACTTATAAAGGTAATAAACATGTCCCATTTTTAAATAAATAAATACCAAAATAATTATTTTAAGGAATAGGTCACATATATCAAGTTAACAATTTGTAATGTCATCTAATGATTCTAATAGGTATTTATGTAATTTTTGGCATATACTAATCAACACTACTTGGACAAATAAATTTAAAGAGTTTTGTTTTTGCTGGTTTTGTAGTCTTCTTCAACATTGTTATCGTTTGAAATTGAATTTGGAACATCTGCATCAAATTTTTTTCCCGTTAACCAATTAGCCTGCCAAAAACCCAAAACACTGACAACGGAGAAAAATAGCATGATCATCAACCATACTGATATGTTAAAAATTTCAGTCTGCTGAAATAGTTCTTTTCCATTCTTTATACACAACAGTGACTCTGTGACCATTATGACTGCATAGACCCAACACTGTGTCCCAAGTCTTTTACAATTAGGATCTGTCACATATGTATAATATTGTCGAGTAGATGGCGCAACTACAATACTCAAAAAGAAAAGTCTGCCAACAACTAGTGGATGTGATGGTGGCATTTCAAATATGTGCTTCAAGAAGAATGTATTCAGTTCAGATACTTGCCACATAATTACCATTTGGCACACAGAAAAAAAGCGCATATATGATGAATTTGGATCTAGCCATCGAACTTGTGTCCAACTAGCTGGTGTAAACTGTAGTGCAGCTCGCTTGATTTTACCTTTAGTTGTATCAATATCTTTAATACCAGGCCAATTATAGTCTCTCATTTCTAACATTTTGCAAATTTTCATTCCAACCCATATACCAAATCCATTGCAAAGTAAAACATCTAAAATCCAAGCATCCCACCAACATTCTTTAAAATTTGGCAATAAATGAGAAAACATCACTTCAGTGAATTCCCACATCATGCTCATTGACCACAATATTCCATAATGCCTCACTAGTATTGCTTTGGATACCCAACCAAAAAAGTGACCAGCAGCAAATACATCCAAATGTGCCCAAAACTTTTCCACAGAAATATCTGAACAGTTAACACCATACTCTTTATCCATATCAATTCGGAAATCTTTAAGATTAGGATCAAGCCATAATATCATGCCTTTAATCGTTTCATATTTTTGAAATAATAAAAACAGCAATGTTAAAGAATATAGAACACTAAGTCCAAATACCATTCGCCAGACCGCTGGGTGAGGTCTAACAAAAGGACCGTTTGGGAATGCCAATAAAGATACAAGCAGCAGAAAAAATATAACGCACCAGATTCCAGCACAGATATTGCTATCAATTGATTTATCATCTCGAATGAAGGACATAAAAATTACACCAACAATTGACAATATCAATAGAGTTATGGTATGCGGTTTGTAGAAAAACTCTAAAGTGATATCTTCCACTTCGCATTCGTTGAGTGTGTTGAACACGCTTTCTTTCTTCTGGACTACCATGGCGCGACCGGTAGTTTCTGGCAACAAATGAGAACAAATAATGAACTTGGGGACAGTGTCAGGCATATATTTAAATTATTTAAAAAATTTCCATTGTATGTACACACAAACACACACACACACACACATACACACACATAATATATATAAGTAAATGTAATATATTTGATTCAATTTAAGCGGGGGTTTTTTTTTTTTTATTATTATTATTAATATTATTAAAATTAAAATAAATTTAAAAGCGTAGTAAATGTTAAATTTAAAAACCATTGTACTTACCGGGGAAATTAATGAACAATAAACCGCTCACTCGTACTGAATCGTTCCTACTGTTTTCGGTTACTCATGTCTAAGGATTTTAAATTTAAAAAATAACTAATAAAAAATTTTAGGCACATTAGTACATCACGTGTTTGAGTGATTAATGAATAGTACAATAATCAGTGAACTCGGTAGTCGGTGGAGTGATCGCCGATCGGGCATCGGCTTACGGTTGTCGGCAGGTCAATGATTAATATTGATAAGGTCTATACGATAATAATGTATGCATCAACGAAATATGGATTACTACCTTTTGTTCCAAAACATATATGTTCCACAACCTGTTTTATGCCACTAGACAATACTTCCACAGAATAGATAAAATTATATACTATTAAGAAACTAAGAACTGAGAAGACGAAGTGGCAAGTACTGAACTAGTGTTGTTGAGAAGAAGTCTATTTGAATTAACTATTATTTAATATTTTAGTAAATTATTATATAATGGATTTTGAAAAGGTAAAAGAAAAAACTTTTGAAGATGCACACAAAGGTAATGTCGACCAAGTTATGAAAGCAGTCGAAGAGCATTTGAGGCTGTTAAAAGAAGTCGATGTTGTATGTAATATTATAATTATTATAATTTTCAAGTATTTATTAAATAGATTTATTGTTTGAATGTTATTTATAATAAGGTTTTACTTTATTTAATAACTAATGGTACAACTTAAATCAAATCAATTTTTATTTTTATTTATGTTTAGAACAATCGTTTGCTCCTTCATTGGGCTGCACTTGGGGGCCATGATAGACTTGTTCGGTATCTTCTCGAAAATGGTCAACCAGAAGATTCTCGAGATGATGTAAATAAATAAATTGTGTATTATGTAAAGGTAAATTTAAAATTATTGTCATTTCATTCAGATGCAAACAACTCCTCTTATATTGGCAGCATCAGGTGGCCGCATAGATACAGTAAAAACCCTTATAGAATATGGAGTAAATATTAATGCAAAAAATCAAGAAGGACATTCTGCACTTCAATATGCAGCTTCAAAAGGTTGGACAGAAGTAAGTCAATATTAAACGTTTAAAATAAATTATTAGTATATATATATATATATATAATTGTTATGTAAACAAATATATAATATAAAATTATTTAGATTGTTAGATATTTAGTATCAAAAGGCGCTGATGTTAATATAACTGATAATAGAGGAGCAACACCATTACATAGATGTGCATCAAAAGGAAATACGTCAGTGCTAAAAATTTTATTGGACTGTGATGTACATGTAGATGCTAAAGACAGTTATGGAAACACACCACTGTAAACTATGAAATAATTTTGATTTCTATAACCAATAGTACTAAGTTTTGATTTTAAATGTTTTCCTTTTCATTTCTAGTCATTTAGCTTGTGAAGAAGGACGTATTCAAGAAGCTGGGTTATTGATTAAAAGTGGAGCTGATAGCACTCTCGTAAATAAAGAAAAATTAACACCTTTTGATTTAGCACCGTCTGATGTTCAAGGCATTTTGAGAAAAATCTAAAATATTATAATTGTCTTGGGTGAGGATCATATAATATGTTGTACTAATATAAAAAGTATCTAGAATAAAAAAAATTTTTCTTGAAAATTTAAGAAAAATAACTCAAGTAAATTATATTTTAATCGCTATATTTAGTATTGTTTACAAATTAATTGTAATAAATTGTCCCAATATAATGTCCTACAGATCTTTATAGCAAATTAATATTTTTTGATAATGTCTATTCAAGAAAAATCTGGAAAAAATTCCAATTTAATCTAATATCAAAAATATATAATTTTCTTTATTTTTTGAAACTTACAAAATAGCCATATTTTGTTTACTAAGTCATTTATAAAAAAATAGGTAACAGGTGTCAGGGTAGTTCCCATATACTAAACCAGATACCGATGAACCGACAAAGAATTCCATATTCCAACCTGGCCTAAGACCCCGTGCGCCCCAAACCCATCATCGTTCAGAGCCAGATGCCGTGATAATCCCAAAATCCTTCCCACTCGCTGCAAATCACCATTCAAGGTGTTCCAGGGTGGGGAAGTGATCTGCTGGTACAGGGGGTCGATAATATTATGTAATCAGTATTACTCGTCGCATAATAATATATAATATATAGTAGTTCAGGATAGTCCTATAAAATATTAAATTATACGAGTACATAATACTGATAAATATAACAATAATAATAAAATAAAACAAATAATTAATTAAATACCTAATTAAAAAAAAAAAAAAATACCTACTGACACATATTTTAAAATTTAATATGTTTTTGTATATATGGATTTTTGGGACATACTGTATGCAAATACATCTATTTGGAATTTCGTCAATATTTATTGAATGAAACTTGTAAAACCACAATTTTTGCCATGTATTTAAATTTATTATTTTAGCTCTCACAAGTACTGTTTATCTCATGTTTACCAATACTTTGTACACAATTTATACTAGATTAATAATAATTTGCTTTAATTCCAAAAAGTTCTATTTATTTTTCTAAATGTGTTATTTTGTATGTTCCTTTATGTAAGATTATAGTAGTGCCAGATCATATGAATAATCGCTTTACATTTAATGAATTAGTATTGAGCTAATGGTCCCTTAAATATAATTTAGTGATCTGTGGATTGTTATTGATCCAAATCAATTAAATTTTTATGCAAACTAGTATGAAGCATAAAATTAATTTGCATACTAATTGAATATATCTAAGTACCTGATATATTTTGCTTAAAATATTTTTTCTTGAACTCTTGTATGACCTTGGTGCAATACTGCATTACCAAAATATTTATACAAAATTATTCTAAATACTTAATTTAATGCTGTATGTAGATTGACTATTTAATTATAAATTTAAATTTAAATATTTTGTTTTTTTTTTTTCAGAATAAGTGTGTTTTAAGTTGAATGTAATTTATGAAGTTCAAAACAAATATAACACTAATAAGTGTCTTTAAAAAATTAATATGTATATTTTTTAATCCTGTAAATTACCATTAATTATTATATTAATTTAGTACCTATGTAAGAATAATTTTAATTTGTGTATAATTATTTGCAATTAAACTATTCACTATGTGTTCAAATTTATATATTTTAAAAATCGTAAAACTAGCAGTCATAGTAATAAATATAAATTTACTGAGACATAAAATAAAATAAAAAAAGTCTAATTTTATATAATTGTAAAGTGTTAATAATTGAAAATAATGAGAAAACAAAATTAATTGTTTGTAATATATAATATGAAACTATAGGCAGTTTCACTTACTCTATACTAATTGTAAATAATGCCTAGGTAATCATTTAATATACGTCTTATAAAGATTCTGAAATAGTATTATTGTATATTTAAATAACTAGTTTTGAGTTAATACAATATTATATTAAATTAAACTGTTATGGTATTAATATATTATTTTCAATTACTTAGTGGTTTTATCTAACACTTATGCACTTTCAACCTTCGGATAAGAAATATTTGTGATAATATAGCCTTTCAAACTAGCTTCCTTATTATGCACATGTGTCTAGGCTAGTACCATTAAATGTTTGGTAATTATTAACGTTATGTTATCATTGATAGAAAACAAGGAAGGGTAAGCTTAACTTCACCTTAAACAAATGATAAAATAATTGTCTTTTTACTTAAACCAATATCATGTAAAATGTCTAGAAAAGTACTAAATAAAATATTTCCATTGTAAAAACTAGTAATTATACATTAACTTGCTGAAAACATTTTTTTATTTACTACACTCATTATTTTAATAATAAATTGTAAAAAATGAGAAAGCTACTTCTATTGTATAGTTGGTTCAATTGACTTTAAAGTCAACATTGTTTTAGATAAACAAAAAAATAATTCTGAGCAAAATTGATAGAGAATTTGAGTTTAAACCACCGACCTATAAATAAAATTATACATATGTTTTTTGATATTTTAAAATTGTTACGAGAATAACTTTAGAGGCTATTGTATAAAATCAAATTCCTATTTTACCAACCCTAAAAATGTTTTCATCCTGGATTGTACAGAGTGATTCTTTTATCATAAACCACTCATTATTTCAAAAACTATTAATATTTTAATACATTTTAAGTTTTTTACTCTTTAGAATGATAACATATAATTTTAATATCATATTCTGAAACAGAATATTTTTTGGAATATTTTGATACAAAAAAATTAAAATTCAAACGAGTAGTTTATGAGTTATTATTGTTATAAGTATTTTAAGTTTAAGTGGTGGAATAATAATAGGCTAACATTTTACGGAGTATCTAACCCCATATCACTCTACTTCGATCACCTAAATTCTTATAACTTATAATTATAAACTATTCGTCTGAATTGAAATTTGTACATATCAAAAAAACTTCTAAAAATATTCTGCTTCAAAATTTCAGTTTAAAAACAAATTTGTTTTTCAAAATATAAGACTTGAAAAAACATAACGGAAAAAATATAATTTTTTTTTTTAAATTTTGTTTTATTTTGAAGTTTTACAAAACATTTACGCTCAAAATAGAAATTACTAAACAAATTAGGTAACTCAAATAAATATTATTTAAAATACCTCTAAAAGAAAAAAGTATTAAATAATTATTGTGGGCGATAAGTAGATTTATGGTTATTTGAAAACTCAAATCATAAAATACGATTTTTTTATTACAATTTATATTTTATAATAAGTCTCAAATTGTATTACTTAGTTAGACATTAAATTTATCAATATGATTTATACACATCGAATTTTTTAATCATAATTCATATCAAAATATTGGTATAGTCGTATGGGTAAGTTATTATTGTACGTATTCTATAAGTAATGACCTATTTGATTATTCTACAATCACTCGTCATCAGGGCTGTATGCATAATGCATCTATCTACAGCTATGTTCTTTGCTTCATCATACATAATAGTACCTACCTATATAGGTACTGAAAAAGCATACCTAATCAGTATTGTTTGAAAATGTTTATAGAACTACAGATAAACCATGCTTATGATTTTTATCTTTGTGGATATCCAGATCATTTGATAATATTCTTTGTAGTCTACTAGCAGTAGGTACTATTAAAAAAATAGCTGACTCTGGCCATTGTAAACTATAAAAAGTGTTAAAAATTCAATAGCAAAAAGACATTTAAAAATGGATAATGTCAAACAAACTGAACAGGTTAAATGTATTGTGTTGGAAGATTATGGCGGTTATGATAAAATAAAAGTAAATATAATTTATGAATACCAATATAGTATAGGTGTCTAATCTAACCTTATTTACTTACTTAAACCATTACTATTTACTTATATATTTCTGTATGAAAATTATTTCATGATTAGTTGGTAGGTAAATTTATTCTTGTAAGTTAATTTTATTATCTAGTATAATTTATCTGTTACATATTATCTACCCAGAATCAAATATAATAATGTTTGGTTATTATTCGAGTTGATGTTTAAAAACTCATACATCTATCTAATATACCTTATGTTGTATAAATTATGAAATTAATTTAATGTATTATTTTTATGTTTTAAATGTAATTTATTTTAGATAAAAAATTGGCCACTTGAATTCTTAGGATCAACAAGTGTGTGTGTTAAAGTTCAATTATGTGGTGTCAATTTTAGTGATATATATACTAGACAAGGTTTTTTACGCCAATTAAAAACACCTCGTGTGCTTGGAGCAGAATGTTATGGTACAATAGAAGCTATTGGAAATGAAGTGAAAAATTTGCAAGTAATGAAAAATTATAAAGTTATTCATTGTTATTTATTATTTTTTTTTTTTTATAATAATTATTGATTTGAAGTAATGGTATTAGAATCCCCCTTTGATCATGCTGTTCAGTATAATAACTATAAATATTAGTCTTTTTATTCATTGTATATATTAATACAGTCAATACAGATTATAAATTATTAAAAAGAAAAGAATGATGATTAAAAATGATTATAAAAAGAATTATTGTTGTTTTAATATATTGTCTTTTACCAAATTAGAACAAATTTACATTTATAATACCCTGTAAGTCTGCAACCTTGGCTACGACTTTATTTTAATGAAATTAATTTTTTATTGACTTTTTATATAGTGTGGAGACCGAGTAGTATGTTATGTTTGGACAGGAGGACTGTTTGGAGAAAAGGTTGTAGTTTCAGCAAATAATTGTTTTTTAGTTCCGGAGGGTGTTAGTGGTCAAGATGCTGTTGCTTTACCAGCCAATTATTTGACTGCGTACTTGAGTATTTTTACCATGGGCAATATACAACCTGGAGATACTGTTCTCATACATTCAATTGCGGGTATTAAGGATTAAAAAAAAAAAAAATTTCTATTTATGGAGAATAGCACTTAATTTGAGTTTGTCATGGTGAATTTTAAATCTAATTTTTGTTTTATAGGAGGTGTTGGGTGTGCTGCAACTCAATTAGCAAAAACTGTGAAAGATGTAGTTATTGTTGGAACCACTTCAGTATCTAAACATGAACGTTTAAAAGAAAATGGAGTTTCTCACGTGCTACAGCATGAAAATTATGAGACTCTGGCTAAAAATGTATCACCACAGGGTTATGATTTAATTATTGATAGTATTGGTGGACCAAATATTGAGATTAGTCAAAAATTACTTAAGGCTTGTGGTCGTTTAGTTGTCATAGGTATGTTATTATAATTAAAACTACATAAATAGTATAAAATTTTTACCAAATAATGTAACTCAAATCATACATAACCTGTATCTACAATGTAGGAGTAGGTATAAGATATACTTTGTGTGGTAAGTTTACTTGAAAATAGAAAATTGTGATCAGAATAGAAAACTGCTTATTAATATTTATTTATCTACTTTAATGAGTGTATATTATGTAGAGTATAAACTTAAAAATATATTTGAGTAATTTAAAAACTAATTATTTATTTTTATAACTTGTATTGTAGAAGTATTTTTTTGTTTTAGGCGGTAGTTGTTATATTAATGGAGAAACATTAAAAATTGTAAGGTCATTAGCTATGAAGTGGCAAACAAAAAACTTGGTCCCTCAAACAATGATAGAACGAAATATAACTGTTAGTGGTCTTCATTTGGGTATGCTGTTTGATTCTAATCCAAACAAAATTCATCATATCATGGAAGAATTATTCAAAATGTTGAAAAATAAATTAATAAAACCAATTATTCATGAGATCTTACCGATTGATAATGTGAGTAAGAAAAATTCATACTAATATATTCATTATATATCAGGCTTATAATTAAGAATAGAATGTTTGTGACTACAATTTTTTTTTGTTTAATAATGTATACAGCAAAAAAAATTATAAGCCAGTTTTTCTATTAGCATGACGTAAAAGCAGATTAGTAGTTTTTCTATTTTTAGATAATTTTAGGTATAAGTGTATTTTTTGTTGGTTTCTAAAAAAAAAAAAAAATATATTATAAATCATTGTTTTTAAATTTAAAATAAATCTAAACCATCTTTCATAATAGCAACTTTTATACAATCTTACATGTATGATTGTACAATAGTCTCACTTTTGCAATAATTTGAAGGTAGTTAATAGTTACTATTGATCTATTTACACAATGATACTCTCATGATAGCAACTGTTTTGTTTTACTATCAATGTGGAAATATTGTTGGTAATTTTTTTTAAATTATTTGAACATTTTTAAAAACTTAACCAAGTAAAAAATAAAGTAATATTATTAAAAATTAACTTTTAAAATTAATTTTTGATAATTAATTTTTAGTTATTTATATTGTATGTATATTTTGAAAACAACAACAAATAATTTAGTTTTAAAAACATTTTATGATATGATTGTTTAAAGGGCATAGTTTGGTATTTTTTTTAAGTATATCTGCAAATATTTTTATGAAAGGTGTTTTCATAGTTCACAAACATTCAAACCCTACGTACAATACTTCAAAAGTATACTATACATCTATTGTAACTATAAAGTGTATGAATTAAACTAAAAAATTTAAATTGAATTTTACAATCATACATATCTAATAGTTTGATAATTTTGTGATTTATGTTTATGTTTTTTAACAATTTTATACATTTGTATTATTATATTTCTACAGGTTATTGAAGCTCAAGCAACATTGGCAAAAAGAATGAATTTTGGGAAAGTCTTATTAAAATTAAATCAATAATAAGAAAAGTTTTTCAAGTTTGTTTGGTTCTGTACCTGTTGTCAATTTGTGTAAATTCTCCTTAATGTATAATATTTATATTTAAAGTGTTCATTGTTAAAAATTTCTAAGAGAATAATCATTGTGATTTAAATATTGAGTTATATGTTTAAATTAATTAATAGATAATTAATTTATATTTGACTTTTATTTAGTATAATTTAATATGTAAAAAAACTACGTCCATCTTTAAATTATAAAACTTAAATATTTAACTATATTTTATATTATAATTATACATTTTCTTTGAATTGTTGTGCATGATACATAGAATATTTGTATACAAGTTACCTGCTCTTAAATACATTTGAAAAATAAGTTATAAAATAAGTTATGAAGTACCTACCTAATAGGTACCCATAGTATAGTAATACCTGCATTTAATTTCCTTTTATTTAGTTATTATATTTATTTTTTATACCTAAATGTCATGTCTATATTATATGATATGATAATTTGTAATATTGTATTAAAAATTCTACTTACAAGTGATTTTAAAATATTTTTTTAGTCTATCTAAGTTACTCGAATCGGCTTATTAAGAAAATTAAAAATGTATCTATTCCTTGTGTATGCATATTAATTTTATATTCATATTTTATACATTTATAGTACCTATATATTAATGTTAAAATAAAAACACTATTTATATAATTGCAAGTGGTGCTTAATTTAACCAAATTATCTTAAAAACAATGTGTGTTTATTCATTTCAACACAACTTACATGTATGGTAGGCCAAAACGTACAATTTAGTATTTAGATTACTAAATTAAAATTTGCCATGTACCTACCACATATTATGTATTGTATAGACACTGTTACCACTTACCATAATATAATAGTATAACAAGTGACTGTTATCTATCATGAGTTTATGATGTTATGTATATACCGCTAGTACCTAATTAATAGTCAGTTATGTAATTTATAGGTACACATATTAATCGCTAAAACCTAGTTTCTATCTACCAATACTAAAAAGTTAGAAATAATTCAATTTTTTTTTTCATTATTTTGTGTTAATATTTATATTATTATTAGCTTATTACCGAAAAATACTATACGTACGAGTTGCGTAAGGATTTGTCTAACTAGGTACTCTATTTATCTGAACTGAAATGTTCGAATTGCGTTCTGGTTGAAAAAAAAAAGGTAATATTCGAATTAAAATATCCAATCATTCTATAAAACTAATAAATATTCATTTTAGTTGTCGCAATTGCTAGTGTGTGTCAATCGATTTAGTATTAACAACGTCATTATTACACAACGCACCTAATTAATTTGGAAACACATTACGTTTGTAACTCTTAGTTAGGTACATATTTTTATATTATACTTTTGAAATTGTGACTATGTTCCTTGTGGCCAGTATTAACATTGTTACTATTTATTAATTATTAAAAGAATAAACATATATTTCTATTACTATTTTTCAATTTAAAAATAGGTTCAAGAGTTCCGAAAAAAGTAGGTAGGTACTAAATACCAAGACAAAATATTTTAATTACTTTTTCAAAATGTCTGTATTTAAAAAAAAATATTAATTTTATAGGTACTTTTTAGTTTTAGTTTATATATTTCCTATTTTAAATTTGTGTAAAATAATGAAAAAAAAAAATTGAGATATACTTAGAATAGTCGTGTGTGTATAATAGGTATATATATTTTGCATGTAACTTTTACTCAACTGACAATTCAAATACCTTTAAGAAAAACATAAGTAGAGGAGTATAATTTATAGTTAGGTATAGATACCAAATAATATGGTGAATAATGCTCGATAAAATTAAAGTGAAATATGAAAATAATAAAAAAATATATTGATTCAGTTGATTTATAAGGGAAAAACTTTTTAAAGTATTTGAAAGTATCTATAGTTACTTTTTAAAGAATTTATGTTTGTACCTACTTAAATACTTTTTACTTTGAGTATTAAAATTTTAAGCATGTATATATAAACACTTTTCAAAATAACTAATAAGTATCTGTACCTGTGGTATTTGAATACTTTTAAAAAACTAAGTCAATATTCGTACCTATACTGTATATATTTTTAATTCAAAGGCTATTTTATATTTTTATATTTTAAAATTTTTATCTTATCTCATTGGTTGTTTCATATTTAATTTAAAAGTAGGTACCTACTTTAAAGTGCATTCGTTGATTCATATTTGATTAAAATACTTTAAAATAGCGTACTACAAGCTAAAATGTGTATACCTATTTCCTACGTATACCTATTTTAAAATGTATATATACGCACGTCGAACATATTTTTATTTATTTTTTTAATTAGCTTTTATTAATAAATATAGATCAACACTCAACAGGAATATATTTTTGAATTCTTAATTATTATCTAACTGAGAAATATTTGCAGCACCTTAATATTTTAAAACGATAAGGTTTTTTCTTATTTATATTTATTTTATTAATTTCATATACCTTATATAATCTTAATCATATGTATAATTTTTATTGTTAAAGAATCTAAGAAAATTATAATTTACCTATTGGCATTGAAATGGTACAAAATCATATTATTGATAAAAAATCTTAAGAAATAAAACGTGAGTCAGAATTAGGTATCTATATGGTATATAGCTAGTTCAGTTAGCTGTATTACATGGCGTTGCTTGGGTTAGATTGTATTTTTCCCATAAGCCCGGTTTCTTACACATTTCAAACCCTTATTTTGCCTCTTAAGAGTTAAATTAAAAAATAAATACTTTCTCAGTGGATTTTTACTTCGTAATAGCTATCTGTATGCTAAATTTCAGTCCTATTCGTACAATAGTTTGAACTGTGCGTTGATAGATCTGCAATTAGATAGTCAGTTGATAGTTACGTTTTTCTTTTATACATTTAGTTTAGTAAAAGGTACATATACTTATTATTAAGATTTAATGACTTAATATGTGTTTAAATTTAATATCTTTATCCTTATTGCTACTTTTTTTTGAGTAATTAAGGACTTTCTTTGTATACGAATTTCTATTCATTCTTCTATTTCTTCTTTGAAAACAGAAGTTCGTGACATAATATTGTCTATTAAAATTTTTATGATAGCAAATCTTATCGTTTTGATATAATATTATACATGAATTATAACTCCTTGTGTAGCTGTTAATTATTATTTTATTTAAAAATAAAATAACCCAGTGTTACATGTAGGTACCTACCTAAATAATAGTAATATATATTTACATACCTATATATTATGATAGGTATAGATATTTAATAGGTACCTATAATTAATATCCTTCTAAGTTGTTTCAAATATCCCTGAGAATTTTACTAATTAGATTGAATATTTCCTTGAAAGTATTATATATATAATATATGTATTAAAGGTGTTTCATATTGCTTTATAATGCGTCTATGTTAAGTCATCAAATTCTCGTTGTAGGTACTATATTACTCATTAGTCTTTTAACATTTCCTAGTACTTTTATCCTTGTTTAATGTAAATTACATCATATATACATGAGTATACAGGATAATTTATGATGACCTCATTGTAGTCTAATCCGTATCTACCACCTAGTGATCATATTGAATATTGATCACTTATATGCTCTTTATAACCTCGCTTTCTAAACCTGCAATTTAATCAAATTTATCAAGTTACTAATCATATGACTATATGAGTTATTATTTCAGAATTAAAAAATTGATTTTCATCATAAGTGCGTAGGTACATAGTTCAATTAAAATACACCACTATTATAATATTATTAAATAATTTAAAATTTACATGGCAACTTAATAATGCAAAGTTGAATTGTAATGGTTTTATAAATAAATGCCTTCATGGCTTCATGTAGAAAAAAAGTTTCTCATGGGAACAATTTAAGATAAAAATTATAATTTATCATACATAACTACTTATGTCTATACTAAGTACTTACATTAATAATATAAACAAATTAACTTAAAAACGTTCATATTTTGTTTTTGTTTTGTTATTGTATGAACGAGTCGATGGTAATTTCGATTGTTTATTACTTATTACTTATTAGGTACCTATTAAATAACCTATTATTTTAATAACTATGAAATAATTAATTCGAGTTCGATTTCACTATTTTATTAAATAATACGGTTTTCTAGAAGTCATTAAATTTATTTCTGTTCTTATATAAGTGTATAAAAGTCAAATAAAAAATATTTATTTTATTTTATTGAAAGTTTACCATCACAAATAGGAATAATAGATAAATAGTATTTGTTGTACTTATGTCATGTTATAGGTACGTGCGTAATGTTGCAAAAATGTAATAAGTTGATATACCTACATTTAATTAGGCATTAATACAGTACCTATTACGTAGGTAGTATCGAATATGTTGCTCTTTTGAAAATAAAAAATAAAAATTATTAACTATGTTAATTAACTTTGAGATGACATAGACATTATATAAGTAAGTACTTGCATGATATTTTAATCTGCGAGTTAATACTTGTTGTAGGATTCTAATTATTGTAAATAATTAATATCATATATGTTCTGTTATTTTATATGAACACCAAAACTTTAAAAATACATTTTTTACGTAAACACTGTATACTGTGTACTGACAACAAAAAAGGTAATTCAAATTATTCATCGAATGATGGCGATTGAAGTATAAAAATAAATGTACATATGTTAATAGATACCTAATACAAACAATTGTTTTTGATTCTGAGCAGAGCCAATTTTTTTTTTAATACAGATTTAAAAACTTCTGTATTAAATTTTCAAGCTTTAAGTGTAAATGGAAAAATTTTTATGAGAATCTAATTACAAAATAATTTCTAATTTTTGAAATTTTTATGAATTTTGCTAAGATTCCAATTTTAAATATGTATAAAAAATATTGTGACTATACATTTTTGATGTTCTTTAGTTGAAAAACTTAAGAGGAATCTTTCATCAAATTTTCAAGCATTTTTATTTAGTGAATAATTTGTTATCAATAATTATGAAAAATACTTAAAAAATAGAAAATTTAAAATACCTTAAAAAAATTCACAATATTTTCAAAATTATATTATGATACCGTTTTTGTC